GCCGAGGGAGTCTATGGAAGAATGCGCCACAGTTCACCTTTGAGATGCAGACAGATACACTGAATCTGGTCAACATATGTTAATTCCTTTTTCCTAAAAAGGCCCACTTTTGAGGGTGGGAGAAGAAGGTGATGGTGGAGGCTACTGCATTTCCAAAGTGTGAGGCTATTTGCACCTTCATTTGAGGCCCTGATGAGGCCACTCCCTTAGGGGGATGCATTTGATCTCAACAGACGTTTCCCTTACAGTTGCCATTGGATTCTTAGAATATTTTGTCAAGAAGTACAATCAGTGCTTGCTTCTTGAAAGTTTTTAATTACATTTCTTGAATTTTCTAATCTTGAGGTTTAAAATACAAATTACCGCATCAGAAACAAAGAATAGTGCATCTTAAAGTCACATCTCCTGTATGTTGTTTTCTGCAAATGTTGTGTGAATGACATTTCAAGGTTCTACATCATTGAGATGGATCAAATGGCAGCATTTATTAGAGGGAAGAAAGTCAAACCAGATGTAATGGGAATCCTCAGCTGCTTCCACTAAAACTGAAACAGGATCTAGTTTTGATGTTAATTTGAATAGCAGCCTCTGAATCATATTTCAGATCTTTAAAACAATGGTAAAATCCTAAATTTGAGGTCTGGATAATTTGATAACTGAATTCTGCTTCTCCTCTCACAATTGCACACCCAGTGAAGAGGAGTTAAATATTCTTATTTAACACATATACAGATGTAACTGTACTTTTGCAAAAAGTCTGTAGGTTTTGCTTCTTTGTTTCTGTGAGGGCCATTTAATTTTGCATAAATATATTTTATGTCTGATAAATAAATTTTGTGTCTAAAGTCTACTGCTTTCGACAAAGTAATTACACATAGTAGAGTACCTTTCTTTCCAGTTTGTAATATCTACTAACCCCTTTTAATGTATGATTAGATCCCAGGCAATCTTTTTAAAAATCTGAGCTACCAAACCTTTTTTCTTTTTTTTTTCCCCTTGATCTTTTGCTGTGGACACAAATTCTGGGTTACATTAGATTCACTTATCTTTGCAGTTTGCCTTCAAAGTAGTCCCCCTGTAATCAATTCCATTTCCTTTTACAGTTGCTCTTGCTTTCCTACTCCACCACAGGTCCCTCATATTTCCACTGGCTGGGCCTTCTTTCTGGCCCTTTCTAGTTGAGTAGAGTCTTGAAGTTGGTGGGACTCCACTGTAACCTAACTGGTATTCTACTACAATACAGGCGCAGATGCTTCTCTGTGCCTCATTAGTTGGTACCTGAAGCTCTGATCCTGTGTGCGCAGGGTGTGAGAATTTAATGACCATGAGGTAGGGTTTGTCAGAGGCCACCAGTATTGCTAATCCTGGTAGAACATCTGATTAGCTTCAGCTGAGAGACTACAGGCATTCAGGGCTGCCTTCTACAGAAACAAACAGTGAAGTTCTTATTAACACCAGACCTATGGAATACAGAGCCAAGGATAGAGCTCGTGCTGGAGTAGATTATAACCAAAAAACCACAAAAAACCCCCATACAAAAAAAACAACCCCCAAAATGAAACAATAGTCTTTGCTCTCCTTTTGTTTGTTTCAAAATGCGAGTAGGCTGGTTTTGTACTTTCAATTATATTATCACATAATGCAAAACTCTTTCCTGTGCATTCTTTTTCTCTTTTTCATCTTCAACCTCTACTTCTATGTCTTTCTCCTTTTTTCCCTAGTTCATCCGTTCTTTTTCTCTATTGTATTTGCCCGAATACAGAACAAGCCTGCATAGCAGGCAGCCTTTACCTTCCCATGCTCTAGTTGCACATCCTCACTTCCCAAGTCTGACCTGCCTTAGTCTGCTTTGCATTTCCAGATAGATGGGAGCTGGGTCCTGCTCAGCTGAACAACTCCAGATGCTTTGTAGAAAGCGGGGAGCCACTGCCCATACCCTGGCAAATCACAGTAGAAGTTGCTGCTTGCAGAGGTGCAAGCAAGATATGGAGGGTTCCTAAGCTTGCTAAGAATATTTGGTCAAATTTGTAGCATCCAGTTTTCAGCTTGAATGTAAAATGAAATTCAAACATAGAGGTTGTGCTCACTTCGGCAGCACATATACTAAAATTGGAACGATACAGAGAAGATTAGCATGGCCCCTAAAAATTTTAGGGAAGTAATTGCGCCCCTGTAGTTGGGACTGGTGAGGCCACACCTCAAACACTGTGTTCAGTTTTGGGCCCCTCAGAGAAGGGCAATGAAGCTAGTGAGGGGTCTGAAGAATGAATCTTATGAGGAGTGGCTGAGGGAAGTGGGGTTGTTTAGTGTGGAGAAGAGGAGGCTGAGGGGAGACCTTATTGCTCTCTACAACTACCTGGAAGGAGGTTGTGGGGAGGTAGGTGTTGGTCTCTTCTCCCAAGTAACTAGCGATAGGACGAGAGGAAATGGCCTCAAGTTGTGCCAGAGGAGGTCTAGACCAGATATTTGGAAAAATTTCTTTACAGAGAGAGTGGTCAAGCATTGGAACAGGCTGCCCAGGGAGGTGGTGGAGTCACCATCACTGGAAGTGTTCAAAAAACATGTAGACATGGTACCTCAGGATATGGTTTAGTGGGCATGGTGGTGTTGGGTTGATGGTTGGACTTGATGATCTTAAAGGTCCTTTCCAACCTTAATGATTCGGTGATTCGGTGATTCTGTTGTTTTCTAAGCTAAATCTCTTGAAAAGCCTAGTTGTACACAGGAGTATGGACATGTCAATAACAACAAGTGACAGAGATCACAGGGTGAAGTGAAAGCTCAATAAAATGTTTCAGGCTGCCTGCACAGTAAAAGGATGCATGTATGCCATTCCT